CATGATTGGGATTCAGTCACCACATTAGCCACGTTGAAGCCGGTGCTTTTTGTTAGAACCTGTTCGGATCAGGAAATACGACAATCACCCGATCGCTAGTGACAGCGAGAAAAGTGCGCCATTCACTCCTTTTGCCACGCATCAGACCTTTCACTCTACTTGAAGCATGTACGCCCCATTGGGGCTGTGTGTGTGTGAACCTCCCTAGCACATGGGAGCAGAGGGTCACTCCTACACTGTTTGCAATCTTTGCTTTTCAACTCAATCAGACATTAGACATTTACCAAATCAACTGTTGCAGGGGGACACAGCATGTCACTGGGACTGTGTCCAACGAAGCTACCAGTGACATGGGAGGAGAGGACTGATCATCCTCTTGTACCTGCATGGCAGCCCCCTGTGGTGCCAAGATTAGTCTGAGGACAGGCCCCCTGTGGTGTCCAGATTAGACAAACAATTTTTGTACGGTTGCCGCAATCTGACAAACTTTTACAACATGAACAACATGCCTCTCTTTTTCCTCTTGCACTCGTACTCTTGGCCGAATCCATCAGTGTGTGTGTGTGTGTGTGTGTGTGTGTGTGTGTGTGTGTGTGTGTGTGTGTGTGTGTGTGTGTGTGTGTGTGTGTGTGTGTGTGTGTGTGTGTGTGTGTGTGTGTGTGTGTGTGTGTGTGTGGTGTGTGTGTGTGTGTGTGTGTGTGTGTGTGTGTGTGTGTGTGTGTGTGTGTGTGTGTGTGTGTGTGTGTGTGTGTGTGTGTGTGTGTGTGTGTGTGTGTGTGTGTGTGTGTGTGTGTGTGTGTGTGTGTGTGTGTGTGTGCGTGCGTGCGTATGTCTGTGTATGCATATTTGTTTGTGTAGGTGTGTGTGTGTGTTTATATATATACATATATATATATATAGGTGTGTGTGTGTGTGTGCGTGTGTGTGCGTGTGTGCGTGTGTGCGTGTGTGCCAAGGTGGGGGTGGGTGGGTGAGCGTCCACGTGGCTGCGCGTCGGGCAACTCGCAACAATACAACATCAGATTGACGGCATCATTACTGGTTGCCACGTGTTCAGTCCCAGGCATGAAAAGTCACGACACTCTAAGTGGGAGCACTTGTCCGCATATATCTCGAAGGTTTGTCTCAAGTCTCCCCAGTCCTGGGCAAGACATGACTCGACACAAATCGATGAGTTTGTACTAGCCACTAGTCTTTCGCATTACATTAGGTATTTTTGTTGTTGGTAACTTGAGATTTGACATGGATGCGATGTAGCTATCCAAACTACAGGCATGGACGACACTGTCTCTACACGCATCGTGTGCAGTGACTCTTAAGAATCATGGCTGCCACGGGCGCAGAGGCGCACAGCGCAAATACGGAGCATCTTGGTGCGATCCTCTGATACACAACCCATGCGTAGTGCAGGACAATGGTGACTGCCAGGCTTAGCGTCGCACCCATTATTATCATGTTGCCTTTGTCTGTCCTCCGCTACTTCATCAGCAGCAACAGAAGCAATCAAACCAGTGCTGACCACTGTAGTGAATGTAATGATCTGTTGGACTCACGGACGTGATGGCAAAGATAATCCTGTTCACAGCGGCTGAACAACTGCAGCAAGAAAAAGGGTAGCGAGTGCTGCCTCTTATCACAACCACAGCATAGATGGTCATCGAACTGCTACAAAAGAGCCATAGTAGTATCGCACCAGACTAACAACATCTAACAGTCTGAGCGGGATTTAGGACCGCGCGATGCCGTCGTAGAAGTACTTCTCGCACGAAGGGTCGAAGTCCTGTGGGTCAAAGTCCGATATCTGTCACCCCGATCGAGAACACTGTCACCGATCTTGATGTTAAGAGAAAAGGCAACAACATCGTAGCATGCACAGACACGAATGTCCGCAGAAATAACTAGTACCAGAATCTGCACGATTTAAGGAGCAACAGGTGCAATCTCGCCAAGCATAGTCCCAGGTGTGTCATACCGAAGTGCTCCCCCCACCGAGAATTCAATGCACCGCCAAAACACCAAACCTCAACGTCAAAATCTAGACTCGAAACATCCGTACAGACGCCATGAAGCCAAGAGAACTATGAAAGCATAAGCAGAAAAGCATGACCCAATATAGGGGCCGAAATAATTACCCGTTATAGTTTTTAGTGTCATGGTCCCCAAAACCCCATTCTAATTATTAAGGCCCCTATACTAATCTCACACCTGAAGCTGGCCGGAACTCCGCACGGCGAGCCTCAGCTGGACGAGAGACCGAGGATGCGGAAGCCACGACGATTGCAGACTCATACAATATAAGGTTCATGTAGGGGTCATAGTATGGGGTTTACAAAGCTTAACGGGTTTGATGTAGGGCTGGGTCGGAGGAATACACACATGGGGTTTCATCATATGCTCTTGCAGAGGATGCTGCTTATTTACTAATCATGTTGTAAGCGGTGTAATTCCTGGCCTATGTCGTGCAACTCGGGCTGTCTCGTTTCAGAGTTCCCCGTCTTCCCCCAGTAGTCGGAGCAGTAGCAGCACTAAGCCGCCGAAGTACCACGTTCGCAACAACAGAAGAAGTAGTAGTACAAGTACTAGGACAAGTACTAGTACGAGTACTAGTACTAGTAGTAGTAGTAGTAGTAGTGGTAGTAGTAGTAGTAGTCGTAGTCGTCGTCGTCGTCGTCGTCGTGGTAGTGGCAGCAGTGGCCAGTAATTAGTGGTCGTTGTCATGGTTGTCGTGTTTTTCAAGCTCAAGCCATGACTTCATTTAGGGCGTGGCTTTGGGCCCCGCCCCACCCTGCCCTGGTGTCAGAACCAAAGCCTAAACCCTAAGCCCTAAACCCTGTTCCCTAAACCCTAAGCCCTCAACCCTTAATCCTAAACCGTTGCCCGATTTAAGGGTGTTGGTGATGCCGGTCCTCCCCAGGCCTTCCTGCAGGCAGCCAGCAAAGCCATCCCAGCGGGCTGCATTAGGGTTTAAGGTTTAGGGGTTTAGGGTTTTGGGTTTAGGCTTAAGGGTTCAGGGTTTTGGGTTTAGGGTTTTCGGTTTAGGCTTAAGGGTTTAGGGAAACAAAAGACATGCCAATGCTATAATTAGAAGGAGAAGAATGCAGGCGATGTTGCTGCCATCGTTTTATCAAATGCCGTCGCTTTTCAGGAACCGACAATGCGGCTTTCCAGTTTTGGCGACTGCCCTTTGAAGTTTAGAAAGGATATTCAACCTGAGGATTTCGAGGTTTAGGGCAGTCCAGACTCCACCGGGGGTGGAGGCTTGCGGAGAGCCTATACTGAACTTAGAACCCTAGCACAAACTATAATTTCAGCTGTTTCTTAGGGATTATAGTAACCAAAAATTAAAAATTAATTCTAAGAACCCCTGAGGAGCACGGGGGTGTAGCTCCAAAACCCTTGACACCCAGGGCCCAGGCGCTGGGAGCCACGCAGCCGGCTGCCGGAGCCAAAACATGTTAGGCCCGCATAGGGTTTAGGGTTTAGGGTTTAGGGTTTTGGGTTTAGGGTTTTGGGTTTAGGGTTTTGGGTTTTGGGTTTAGGGTTTAGGGTTTTGGGTTTTGGGTTTTGGGTTTAGGGTTTAGGGTTTTGGGTTTTGGGTTTAGGGTTTAGGGTTTAGGGTTTAGGGTTTAGGGTGTTAGGCTCTGAAATTGGCCATGGGGAGGTCTCGGGGCTTTCGTGTCAAGCTTCAATCGTTCTTCGAGGGTTCAGGCTCAGCGGCTGTCATGACAGATATGGGAACGCGAATAGGGGGTGCAGCGGCATCGGGCAAGGGCTGTCTCGAGCTGCAAGACTGCTTCCACTACTACTAGTAAAACTATTACTACTAATACTACTAGTACTACTATTACTATGATTTCTACTACTACTACGACGATTACTGCTGACGACTACTACTAATTAAAATGATAATAATAATAATAGCAATTGCTACTCCTTGAAGATGGCTCGTCAACACAAACGGCAAAGTCCTTGTCTGGAAGCATGTTCTTCTACCCGGCCAGTGGCATCAACTCCTTGTGGATGGCTCTTCGAATGACACACTCTACGCTCTGGTGCTTGGCGTGTCGACGGCTCATCCGCGTCAGGCAACTTCGATTTTCTGCTATCATGGCCTCCAGCAACTGCAGAGGGCCATAATGTCGAAGCCTTTGTCGGGCTTAGCTGGCCCCTCGAAGTCTGTCTCGAGGCTAAGCAGAAATAAGTACGAATTAATGCTGTCCTCAGGAACATGATGATTCCATCTTGACTCCAGGACAGCAATCAAACAACATCTCCGGACTGGCTGGGCAGAGGGGGGTGGAATTACGGAGGGCACTCTGCACGTCAAGCATACGCCAGGACGCTGCACCCGACGCTCATCTCATCTGTGGTTCCTAACAGTTCTGAGTGTCGGAAGACTCTGTCGAAAAAAAACATGCTAAACCCAAGCTTTGCACCGTCCACATTGCTGCCTTCATGGTGGAACCGAACCTCTCCAAACTTGGCCACATCTTGGGGCCAAAGTGCCAAAGGAAAGAAGGATAGATAGAGATAGAGAGAGAGAGAGAGACTTACCGTTGGTTAGTAGGGAATGGAAGAATGGTAGAAATAGTAGTTATAGTTGTACCCCATTCCTCCATTCCCTACTAACCAACGGTAAGGAGAGAGAGAGCGCCCAAGTTAAAAGAAACTGAGACCAAGCCAGGACCTCACAGGCCTGGCCCTCAAATCCCGTGCAGTCCGAATTTCACATGCAGGGGCAAATAACGTGCGCTTACGTTTTTGGCTTTAGAGTTTGGGACATAGGTGTATGAAGGGCCTTGAGAAGTTAAGGCTCCTTTGCAACCTGCTCTGCGCGTAGGGCTTCGGATCGAGCCGGCTCTTCTATGAGCTCCTTGAACTGGCTTCCCATGGCTTTTTTTGGCGTCACCTTTGCTTCTCTACCGCAAACTTGGGGGGGCCGTAGTCTGCGCTCAGAAAGCTTCGGCTCAAAGAGATCCACAAAGGCTTCATGCCCGGAGTCAGCTGCCGCCAGGACGGCCAAGGAACCTGCCACATGCACTCCTTCTTTAAGATCATCGTCATTATGTGTACTTTCTGGCAATGTGCAAAACACGGGCCCCCCGGATTATGCTGTTTTCTATTCTTTGAAGGGCCCGGCGGGTTAGAGGCTTGGGGATCTCGGGCTCTGGGTCTCTGGAGCTCTGGCAGTGCAGCCCCAAATTTTGCTCAGATGACGGAAAGGAACCTGGGATGTAGTGGCGCACGATACATTTTTGAAAAAGTAGACCGAGATGTCTTCTGCTTTTGGACGCACAAGTAGTAGCAAGGGTGACGGCACGGTAATATCGAAATTCGCAGAGATAACAACAGCAAGATATGTCAGAGCAGAAGTAGTAGTAGTAGTAGTAGTAGTAGCAGCAGCAGTGGCGCTTGTTCTTGGTTTTGCTGTTGCTGTTCCGGCTGCGGCTGCGGCTGCGGTTGCTGTTGCTGTTGCTGCAGCAGTAGTAGTAGCAGTTGTTGTTGGTGTCGTAGTGGCAGTGGTAGTGGCAGTGGTAGTGGTAGTGGTAGCAGTAGCGGTAGCGATAGTGAGAATGGCAGTAGTGACAGTGGAAGTGGTAGCTGCAGCAGTAGCAGTCGTAGCAGTCGTAGCAGTCGTAGCAGTCGTAGCAGTCGTAGCAGTCGTAGCAGTCATAGCAGTCGTATTAGTCGTAGCAGTCGTAGCAGCCGTAGCACTCGTAGCAGTCGTAGCAGTCGTAGCAGTAGTAGCAGCAGTAACAGTACCAGTAGCAATAGCAGTAGCAGTACCAGTAGCAGTACCAGTCGCAGTAGCAGTAGCAGTAGTAGTAGTAGTAGTAGTAGTAGTAGTAGTAGCAGTAGCAGTAACAGTAACAGTAATAGCAACCGTAACCGTAATCGTGATCGTACCCGTACCCGTACCCGTACCCGTACTCGTACTCGTACTCGTAATAGTAATAGTAATAGTAATAGTAATAGTAATAGTAATAGTAATAGTAATAGTAATAGTGATAGTAATAGCACTAGCAATAGCAATAGCAATAGCAATAGTAGTAGTAGTAGTAGTAGTAGTAGTAGTAGTAGTAGTAGTAGTAGTAGTAGTAGTAGTAGTAATAGTAATAGTAATAGTAATAGTAATAGTAATAGTAATAGTAATAGTAATAGTAATAGTAATAGTAATAGTAATAATAATAATAATAGTAATAGTAAAAGTAAAAATAAAAGTAAAAGTAAAAGTAAAAGTAATACTAATAGTAATAGTAATAGGAATAGTAATAGGAATAGTAATAGTAATAGTAATAGTAATAGTAATAGTAATAGTAATAGTAATAGTAATAGTAATAGTAATAGTAATAGCAATAGCAATAGCAATAGTAATAGCAATAGCAATAGTAATAGTAATAGTAATAGTAGTAGAAGTAACAGTTGTTGTTGAAGTTGGCGTTGTTGTTGTAGCAGCAAGAATAGCAATGACACTAAAACTGTAAGAGGGGAACGTCGGCGACTTCCGCCACGACCTACGACTATGACGACGAGGCATAATGTCACAAAACTGACAACACTATTCTGAGGCACAGTGTCCGAGCCAATCGCTTTGGTGCAGGAACTTCTCCGCTGTCCTCTGAGACCGGAGAAAGAGAGAATGGCCAGGGAAGTCTAGGGGGAAGGCTTATCAGGGTTTCGAGCTTGTCGTCACCTCACATGAACTGCTTGCTTCAGGGCAATCGCGAACTTCTGCCAGTCTTGCGCATGGCTGGTCAATGTGGTTTTGTGAAGTTTAGTCGTTCGTGTTTGAGATTCCTTTCTGGGTTGGTAAACTGGATGTCCCTGTGGATGCACTGAATATGAACTTGTGCCTCTCCAAGATGCAACACTGTACATTGGGCCGTCTCACGCCTGCAAACACTCTGTGCAAATCTCTAGTCGCACAAACACCATCCCCTGCAGCTAAAGTACAGCTTGGCAGCTGCGTGCTTTCGTATGAGCACTGCATACCAGCAGGGTGGCGACAGCTTTGGTAGAAACAAGAACGATGCAACGGTATTGTTTACATGCTTATTCATGTTCTGGAGAGAGATGAAGCCAAAACATTTCTGATGTCAAGAAATGAAAAGAGTTTGACAATATCAGCGAGACTCTAAAGATTTCGTGCAAGATTTCGTGCTAGACTTTATACACGCTCGTGATTTCCGTGAGGAGACTGGACATGCCTGATATCAAGGATTGAGCTGTTACAAGCTTACGAGGTTGCGACTCAAAGCATGGATTACATTCTCGAAAAACATGCAAAACAGCATAGGAAGTGCTAGGATGATCGTAGCCATGACCATAACCGCCAAGCATCGTCGTCAGATGCATGCCCACAGCGGCGCTTCCGCCCCACGCAAAGGCCTGTCACAAGCAAGCTCTGCTGAGCATGTTTTGCAGTGTTCGTCGGCAATGCCGACACTAGACTGTGTTCGGCTGGAACCACAAGTGCACGTGCCAGGAACTTGCACACTCCATGCAACACTAGGAGAGTGAAGTAGCACCGTTGTAGTGATGAAACTGAAGTGAAAGCGCGCACGTCAAACCCAGGCCTCCCTCTGCATGAAGAGCATGTGCCTGACAAAAACTGAACTGCAACACCTTCAGAGCCCTATGTCTGCATGAGCGGGGCATGCGAAAAGAATAGGGCCGGAGCCAACCAGATGAGTGCGGACGAGGAGCAATCAGATCACTGATGTCGATCTCCAAGCTGTCCATGTCCTGCCGCAGCTGAAGCCGCCGCTCTCGAGTAGCTTCCCGCACCTGTCCAGAGATCTGTCGAAGTATCCGGTGGCGGAGCTTGCAGCGAAATCCCAGCTGAGACTCTCCACCCGTAGGGCCTCCTCCCAACGTGGCAAAGATGAGGAGACCTCCGCAGCGTGGCACAGAACGCCAGGCTCTCCTTCATTAGATCTCCCTCCTGCCTGGTCAGTCTTCACAGTGCTCAAGCACTCCGTCAACTTTCGGAGGATGGGCTGCAGGTCCTCGCATCGTCTCGGAGGGCTCAAGGATCTGGGAGCAGCCGATGGGTGGCAAGAGAGGCAGCAGAGCTAGAGCCGCAGCAGTAGCTGTAGCAGCTACCGGTGACAGCTGGCAGGAGTAGCATCAGTAGCAATAGCAAGAGTAGGTAGGAGCGGTCATGCGAGGACAGAAACAAAACGAAAGACGCAGCTGACAGGTTGGCGCCTCGCCGGAAGCTTTCGAGGACCCTTTCGACCACGCCGCAGAGATCTCCTGGCAAGCTTCTGAGACCTTGCGATCCAGGCAAGCTTCATGACGTTTAGGACTTAAGCTTTGGGGTTCAGGGCTTAGGGTAGTAACAGCAGCAGCACTTCGAAGCAAGATCATGTCGGCCTCCCGCGCTATAAAGGGCCAGAAGTCACCGGCAGCTGTGAAAGGTGCAGAGAAAGAGCGGTCGACGGCCTGCTTTGGCTTTAGGCTGTGGATTCAGCGCCTGCTGCTTGTGTTTCGGGAATTGCTGGCCTTGCCTAGGGTGCGTCCGGCAATGCGCCCAACAGACATGTACAGTAGAAGATACGAGTGTAAGAGTTGACCTGAAATTTGTACATCTTCAGCATTCCGATTCCGATGTGTTCCCTGCAACTGACGAACACTTCACAGTCCGGCCGATCCTGCACGGGCACAATTGCTGCCCTGAGCAACTCGGCCAGTAGAGCTTCCTCGCGAACGTCAAGACCTGGATCGTCGAAAGTTTGGCAGACAACCCAAAAGGTACCTTGATGATTAGAATAGGGGTTTGGGCACTAGTATTAATGTGATGTGTTTGAAAGGTTCTGTTGCATCCTCGTCCTCCGTGTGCACTTCACACTGCTTAGGGCCCGCACAAAGCAAGGCCAGCGGACGCCAGACCCGCTCGAGCCAGATGGCAGCACTGTGCCGGGCAGCTGGCCGTCCCGCATGGCCAGCACCTGCAGAATATATATATATATATATATATATATATATATATATTTTTTTTTTCCCGAACTACCACGGCAGCACGGCAAGCAGAACATCCTTAGCCCCGGGCAGGAGGCTGCAAGCTGCTGACAGACAAGGCGGAGAAGACGCGGAAGCTGCAAGTAGCGCCAAGTCTGAGCGCCTGGAAAGACAAAGTCACAGGCGCCGCTAGAACCTCGCGTAGAACCTATGTGGATGCATCATTACCACTGCCCAGTTTAGGGTTTAGGGTTTAGGGGTTTGAGGGTTTAGGGTTCTATGGGGTTTGGAGGCCCAACATCATCTTCTTTGAGGGTGAAGTCCTGAAGCTCAGAAGTCTGAAGCTGGGACCTTGCCTCGTGTAGCTGTCAGCGGTCTCGGAACTGCAAGGTGCCAGAGGTCCTGAGTCCGCATCTCGACTGGTGAACGCTGGTGAACGGGGGTGGGGGGCTGCGATTTCTACGAGGTCAAAGCCCAGGTTTGGAGTTGCAAAACTATGACAGCTGACGACCCTGTCGCAGTGCAAACCTATCTACCCTGCCAACACGGCACCACGCACCAATTGTTCGCGTATCCACAGGAGCCCGAAACACTCGTCACTTTCGCCGTACGTACATACATACTGTACATACATGGTGGTTGTCAAAATTATGGTCCCTTTTTGGGTACCCTAAATATTAGGTGCCGTATTATTATAAGGACCCAAAAAGGACCCTAATTTTGACACATACCCACATGCATACATACGAGTAAGCTACCAAGTACTTAAAGGATCATGGGATTTAGTAACTAGGGTTGTAATTAGGGTAACTCTACTTATAACTACTTCAAGCTCCGATTAAGGTACTTATAACCTTACTTACGAAGTCCCATGATCCTGCAACTAGACCCTAAACCCTAAACTAAACCCTTAAGATCCCTTTAAGGAACCCCTATAGATCCCTTTAAAGGATCCCTTAAGGAACCATATAGATCCCTTTAAGGAGCCCTTTGCAGGAACCCTTACGTACTAAGTCCCATGATCCTCCAAGTAAGCCCTAAACCCTATAGATCCCTTTTAAGGGGCCCTTGTTGGAAAGGCCGAGATGCAGTGGAGAGCAGCAACTCCGCTGCTGCACCAAGCCGCGCGGCATGGGAGGCAGAGGCGCGGCCCAAGCAACCTCAGATCTATTATTGCTGTTACTAATATTATTACCAATATTAATACTAATACTAATACTAGTACTAATATTAATACTGATATTAATACTATTACTAATACTAGTACTAATCTTATTACGAATATTAATACTGCCCCTTGGGTTCAGGGTTGAGGGGTTCGAAGCTTCAGCCTGCAGCCCAACACTCAACAACATCATCCGTGGCATCGTGTGACTTTGCTTTCTGATCCTGTTTTAAATTCGTGAAGAACCTAGCAATGGTCCCCCTGTTTAGAGGATTCAAGCCGAAGTGCCGAAAAAGCATAGCAGTCGCCCCCGATGAGCAGCCTGCACGGAGATTTTTCAGGATGCCCAACAACATGAAATGCATCAGAGAACATGTCGGAATACACCTAACTGCAAAACAACAAGGTTTCCAAGAGACGATGGCTGGGCTCCCCCATCCCTTGAAGTCGGCAATCCAAGAGGCCTCCTCCGCCTCCTGCCCGTGGTGCACATGCGAAGCATGCTTGGGGTTTCGAGGGTTGCAGACGAAACACTAGACAACCTAACCTCTGCATACAATTCAGCAACCTCGCCGACCTCGCACCTGTGAACATTTATGAATGGGATCACTTGGCTTGCCTCTAAGTCCAGTTTGGCAGCATCTGCGACTTCCGCGCTGGGTTTGCCAGCGGGGTGATGAAAGACCTGCACAACAGTTTACACAAGGGTAGTTGTCAAAATTAGAGTCCCTTTCTGGGTATCCTAAATATTCGGTGCCGTACTATATTAAGGACCCAAAAAGGGACCCTAATATTGACAACCACCCACATGAAGCACAAAGTCCAAACAGGAGCTACGGACCTCGAGCATCATGGAGGTCAGTGCCCAAGTGGACTCCATGGTGATCTCTCGATCGGCCTCAGGCGCTCTCTTATGAGCACATGCAAAAGCCACAAAAGCAGAAAGAAGACGTGTTCGAGGAATGGAATGCTGCTACACCTTCAGCCTTGAGACACCATACAGCATCATCATGGCAATCTTCTCGGACAGCTTCCTCCATTGACAGGAAGATCTGCACATGACATGGCCTCCACTGGCTTGCTACGGTACATCTGGCACCTCGGCGACCTAGCACTTGGACGCAGGCACCGTGCTATGTGTGCGCCATAGACTACAGCTACATGAAAGCATGCGGCCCCACTTGGCTCCCACGTTAGATATCTGGACCTATCGCTTCCCGACACTTTTTGCAGCTTGCGGCCTACTGGCCAGCGCTATGTATGGGAGTTTCCGAAAATAGGGAACCCCAATATAGTATCCGAAATAGTAGGATCCTTATTTTAGGGAACCCAGAATAAGGTACCCCTAATTTTCGGAAACTCCCATATGTTGCACTACAGCCGCAATGGACTTTGCAACTCCACGCCCTGCTCGAAGCCAAACACAACCGACCCGCCACCCTGCTTCAGGAACGGAGCTCTCTGCGACAACGCAGCGGCTACTACTAGCTCTCCATGTTCGCACTAAACCTCTAACGATCCCGATTGTCAGAGTGAGCACTCGAGACCGCATTTCTCGCCTCCGCAAGGGTGGCGACACGGCCTGCCACTAGAGTCGAGACTCACAATACAAACATCCAGAGACTAAACGCACAGAACCTTCAGCGAAGACATACCAACAAGATTGCAGAAAGTGCTTACCCCTCTGCGTTACGTACTTCAAGTTTGTCAAAATCGTCGCAAAACGCGCTGCAGCACCTGAGCCTTCCGCAGAGCCGCGAGCAAAGCTGCGGACTTGGCCGCTGGGTCTGGAAACCACTCACTGGCTCCTGGGAAAGCAAGGTTTAGGGTTTAGGCTGTAGCGTGTACAGAATGACTTTAGAGCTTGCAGCCGTCTGAAGCCTCTGTTGGTGCACATCAGTGGCAGTCATCTGCCTTTCAGCATGTCTATTCTCCGGATACTGCTAGAAAGAGTGTGTGGAAAGAATCTCGTCACCTAGAGGTTTAGTGGCAAGGAGGATTTACAAAAACCCGATCTGGCTAGTGCAAGCATAATGGCCCGTGTTTGCGCCAAGGCTTTGACCATTCAAATGGGTTCACCACATTAGTAGATTACGGCGGCCGTATCCAACCGAGAGCACTCTGATCAGGCTCGCTTCTGAAGGCTCTGAAATTAGTTGAGTGTCCACTGTGCAGCAGTAAGACGTCGGACAGGAACATGGCGCAGGTCTGCGAGATGATCTCCTCAGCGAACTGCTGGTGGGCACAGGTGCGACCAGCCCAAGTCATAGTCTGAACAAGAACCCATTATCGTGTGGCTGAGTCGTGCTTTGCTAGCAACAACAGCAACAGCTGCACCACATTGCACCACCACGACCACCACCAGCACCACCACCAGCAGGAGCAGCAGCAACAACAACCACGACCATGACCACGACCCCGACCACGACCACAACCACACCAACGACAACAACGACAACAACAACAACAACAACAACAACCACAACAAAAACAACAAAACCGTAAGGCGCAACCACTACCACTGCCATTCTGCCAGCTCGCTATTCTTAGTGCTATTATGTGCTGTTCTTGCTTTTCTCGCCTAAGATTCGGCCTCACGCCCCGTCCGACTCCCAAACCGTCGGAGCAGGGACAGGAAGAAGGGCCAGTGAGTGGAGGCAACTTCCGGCTCCACGGAGGTGAGCAAAGCCATGCACCTCGCCAGACGGAAAAAAGCGTCATAAACCCCACGAGCATAAGATAATAGTATTGTTATTATGTTATTGTTGCTATTACTGTTACTATTGTTACTGTTGTTGTTATTGTTATTTGTTGTTATGATTGTTATGATTGTTATTATTGCTATTATTGCTATTATTGTTATGATTGTTATGATTGTTATGATTGTTATGATTGTTATGATTGATATTATTGTTATTATTGTTATTATTGTTATTATTGTTATTATTGTTATTATTGTTATTATTGTTATTATTGTTATTATTGTTATTGCTGATACTATTGTTATTGTTCTGGGTAACAATTCTGGAGCTCAACATGGCACGAAGCGAATCTGGAAGTGCATCGAACAGTTTGGCGAAGGCTCGCAGCGAATGGCACGCAACGGTGCAAGGGCGGATGCTGCTGAATAGTCGAACCTCATACCGCATTGCCTGTGTTGACCCCTGCAGCCTCATGTGGGGGTTTCCGAGAACAGGGGAGGGGACCCTAACATAGTTCCGTAAATAGTCGGCTCCTTTTAAAAGGACCCCAAAATAAGGCACCCCCAATTTCGGAAACTCCCATGTAAACCCAAGGAGCCTGATAACCCGTAAACACCTAAACCCTAAACCCTGACCCTGAACCCCAATTTGACCCCTAAAGTTAAAGCCTTGTGTTAAACCAAGGAGCCTGATGGCCAGTATGCGGTGCCGGGACCAGCTTGCTCCAAGAATTGGCTCGGCAGCGTCAGCTCGAGTCTCAGGGAGGCGATTTTCGAGGCCACATGACTCTAGGGGCGCCCCCCAAAATAGTATTGGGTAACAATTTAGGCCCCTATAGTACATGACTCTAGGGGACTCTAGCGTTTAGAGCTTAGGGTTTAGGCTTGTTCTGGCTTTGAGTTGAAGGTTTGGAGTTTGCGTTTTATTGCGAAAGCCTGAACCCTGAACGGGACCCTAGCCGAACCAGGGTGTTTGGGTTTCGGACTCTGGCATGGCTTTGCGCAAGTTTGCGCACCCCATGAAGCTGAAAAATATGGAGTGCTGAGACACCGTGACCAACGTACATGCTCTGCACATGCAGACGACAACGTACATACTGCAGGGTGTACATCAATCACTTCGGCCCAAAGGTTTGCGCCAAGGAAATAGCTCGGCCTTTACAGTAGATTCGGGATTGGCATGGCAGATACTGTCGGCAGGACAACGATGCCGCGTTGTGCCTCTGTCACAAAGAGCTACTTCAACGCTCCTGTTCGCAACCCAGGCACCAGCGCCGGACGCAGCCAAGTATGAAGGAGCTCATGTCCACCTGACAGGACGAAAGCCACCAATAAATCAGCACATTACATTACGCCTCCATATGGAAGCACGGAGCTCACTCCCCTCCGTGATCAACACAAGTCACTGGTCCAGCCTAGTAGAGGAGCCACGTCTTCTGAGCCGGCCTGCACCGAGGATTGGGACAGCGCTGCATCGATGACCTTGGAGGGCATCCCGACCCCGCCGTCACTCGGACTTGGGTGGTTGCATCTGTGTGGAGCCAAGCCGCGCAGAGGCCTCGCAGAGTCCTTTGAGACACGCTATCTGCCAGTCGGGCAGATTCTGCGGCCTTGGTTGGCAAGTGATTTCGCATTCTCTCGCCCACTTTGCGGGAAATCTTATGGCCGCGGTGCTTTCTTCTTCTTCAGGAAACCGTCAAACTGCTGTGTCTCGTCATCGTTCTGCAGATGTTCCAGCAGCGAGAGCACAGCAGAGTTGACGCCCTCGCGACAGGGAACATCGGAGCTTCAGAAATATACAATCTCAAATACCTAAGACCTAAGTGAAGTACCAGGCAGCCGCTGCTTCTTTGGTGCATCTTGGCATCTTCGAGTTGTTCCTCTAACACTCACCCTCTTTCAATTCGCACATCATTGGAACACTCTGCCTACTACTGCTACTACTACGACTATTATTAATATTACTACTACTACTACTACTACTACTACTACTACTACTACTACTACTACTACTACTACTACTACTACTACTACTACTACTACTACTACTACTACTACTACTACTACTACTACTACTACTACTATTACTACTGCTACTACTACTACTACTACTACTACTACTACCCTTCTGACATCATTGCTCATGGTTGCAGGGGCGGTGGTTTTCTGATTCAAGGCCTCCTTCAGGATACGAAGGGGTAAGTTGACCATGCAGAGTATCCCGAATTCAATCATCAGTGTCAGTTCTGGAGATCGGGAATCTGCATCATTGGCTTGGAAGACTTCGGACAGAGACGAAGCCGGCTTGATGCGAGATTAGGACGGATTATAGGGAACTCCAGAAAGTTGGAATATGGTTTCATAGTAGGATACCCTATAATTTACCATAGAAGGGTTAGGATAATCATATTCCAACTTTCTGGCTTCTACCTTAGGAGTACGGAAAACGGCAGAACCCGAGTCTGCCAAGCCAGACCAAAACCGAGTCGCACCTCTGACACAAATTATGTGATGGGTTTGCGAAAATTAGGAGTACCTCATTTGGGGGTCCTTATAGTAAGGATCCTACTGCTTAGGATATTGACCCTTGATCTTTCCAGCCAAACCCCAAGACCCTGCACCCCAAAACCAAGGCCCATAAATCAAAGGCCGACCTCGGGGTCGGCTCTCCGTAAAACCGCCGCGGCCAGGTGGTACAATGAGGTCCCCGTGGCCGAATCTAAGCCAAGACCGCAGGAATTTTAAGGTTTGGGACTCGGGGCGTCAAAGGGCTCTAGGGCGCTAGAATGGCTGGAAGGAAGTGCGGAAGGCAGCCGACTGCGACAAAATCAAGACTCCAGCAGCTGAGATCAACAAGTCAGAAAAAATCAGGATGCAAGGCCATCCCTTTGTGCCCATAGCTGCTGCCGGATGACCTCCCACCTCCTCTGCAGCAGGCGCCTCGCGCAGCACTGTGTCGGCCACCTTCCCATCCGCAGTTGTGGCAAAGCTGCCATCGCCTCTACATGCCTGCATGTCAATTCCTTTCTTCTGGCCGCAAGACAGTTCAGAGAATAAACTTGAATACATGAATTGCGTGCAGCTTCATCGCCTCCATGAGATCCGTTGTACTTCCACCCTCCTCGCAGCACCGCGTCAGCACGTGAGAGACCCGCTGGCACAGCACTCTTCAGCTCACCCTTCGGCGTTCCAATCCGATCGGTGTGACTATCCCGGACGAAGGAACTGACAGTCAGCAGGCACTATAGATTTTCATCATCTAAGCGCTAATCTTGTTGCAACTCCGGCATTGAACTTTCGATCTCGCCGGTCATCATGCTCTTTGCGTGCATTCGTATTACTATCACTTGCTGCTACTGCCTCTGCTGTTTCTGCCTACGCTCCTTACTACAGCCGTTACCATTGCGACGACGACTCTTACAGGACGACGACGACGACTGTGCCTGCGGCTGCGGCCACGACTACGATTACCACTACGACTTTCATCCCTTTCTTTAGTGTGGGCACACTTTTTGCTCTGAATCTATTGTCATCGGCGCTTTGTTTCTTCTGCTTGGTTTCCATTATTCAGTTGCGTTAGCAACTCCATTGCACAGCCCACGCAATCACTGCAGTATCGGGATGGCAAGCAGATAGACAGCTTCTGATACATAGATACATTACTAACATACATACAGTACTGCAGTGACTGATAGTGAGATTCGTCGCTTGCTGCCGCCATCTTCGTCGTCTTGGGTGTAGTTAGCTTCTGGCTTCTTCGATGTCGATGTCCTTGCTAGCATCGTCACGGTCAGGATCGTCGGCAGTGCTGTGGTCGTCGTCATCGCCGACGCTGATCGTCGTACTGCTTCTTGTTGTTCTTATATAAGAACAGAAACTACCCGGAGTCCTCCTGGAGTAGTCGCCAAAGCAGTTGGCGCAGCAACGACCACTGCTCATCAACCACTGCTGACATTGCCTGCCAATAAAGCGCATGTTCCTATGTATTGGCATCCTTTCACAAGCCCTGCATACCCGAACACCTTGGGTACACTAGTGAAGCAAACTCCTTGGCATGGCAACTGCAACGCAGCACAAAGTGTCGCTGGAAAACGTGCCCTCTTGACTCAGTTGCTCCAAGCCCCAAGCACCATACAGTAAAAGCCTGGTAAGGCAGCGGTTCGGCATCCGGTACTGGAGCATCGGATAGCCTGTAGGAGCGGTGTTGCGAAGTCAAGCGACGGAAGTCGGCCAAGGAAGCATCAGGACCGTGGGCAGAATCCGCCGTCTGAATACGACGGCTTCTTCATATATTTGCGAAATACTGCAGGGCATTGCAGGGCTCTGTAAGGATTGGCCTGTCCGTGTTCCCCCTTGCACGATCTTACCTTCAGAAACCAACGGAGATTGCACAGGTACGGCACAGAAAAACAAGGGATGCATCCCAAGCCACTGCGCTGCCACGCGCCACATCAGCGCAGCAGAGGCATCAGTGCCGGGTGCCCTGGCATAGCGACAGAATCTGATCTCGACTTCTCATGGACTAACTACCACCGGCGTGAAGATCAGCATCATTGCAGCAGCAGCCTTGACATCACTGTTAGACTCAATGTTCGGGTTTCCATTGCGTTCTTACTGGTTTGAGTATCGCTGCATGCAGGTTCTGTAAGCGTGGATATACTACTAACCAATAGAAGCATCGGTGAGCATTTTGACCAAGCCACATCTTGAGTATTTCGTGTTGGGTGCCTCTCGAAGCTTCACTTTCAGGCCCCGGACACCATAAACCACAAAGACCGGAATCCTGAGTCCTACCTAGACCCCCCAACTGCCCTTTATTGTAGTCCCTAATTACCTCGTAATGAGGAATATTATGAGAGCCCTTTAAAGGGTACTTGGGGGTCCTGGTACACCCCGAAGCTTAAAGCCATCAGTTGGCGCCTGGTGGCCACGGAATCAAGGCAGGCGACCCAGTCCGAGCGCGCCTTGTGCTGGGGCAGAGCGTGGCAAAAGAAGTTGACATTCGAATCGGGTTTTGGGGGTATATTCTACTATACTTCTAATCAGGAGCCACCTAAAGCAGATAGGTAATTCTGATTCTTGCTCTTCTTGGACAACAAACCGGACACGATGTCGACGACGACAACGCACCACGGCGATGACGACAACGACGATCTACATTTCATCGGCTCACTGACTTCGTTGACATGTGTCTTGATCAGACAAGCTTCTCTGAAACTTTCTGAATACTATGTGCGTGTCCTGCTTTGTTAAGACACTGTGGATCGCCGTTTCAACGTTGCAGCTTCTTTCTCGAAGCCACAGGCTGGTCCCCTCCGCCCCCCCCCCTTCCCCTCTCAGTTGCGAAGCCGGGATGCGAAGACGACTTTCAGAGCCATCTCGGCAGTCGTCTCGTCGAGCTGCCGAATCATGTCCTGAGCTTTACGGAAAAGCCCTAAATGCCAGAGACGGCCATAAGAGACCCTGCGTCCTAGAGCCGGATAACCCTGACTCCAACCCTGACGAGTCCTGGAGCACGGCTTCAGCACCTCCCCGGCAGCGGTGCTGCATGGTTGTAGAGAATCGGGTTCGGCGTGGACTACTAGAATAGACTGGTAGTGGTAGTGTTCGGAATGTTTGCTAATCGATGTGGGCGGGGGAGGACTTCGGCTGCGTCTCTTCAGGTTTCACCGGCACCCCCTGCCAGAATCTACACAGCACCCTGGCCTTTGGCTTCGCGCTGCTTGGCCAGCCAACTCATCAGGTAGCTATGGCAGGCATCTCGAACCTGAGGTCGGGTCCTAGGGTTGAGCCTAAAGTCTGGAGCTTCAGGATTCTGGTCAAGCTTTGGGCATAGTTTACACTAGGCTGTCGGAGACTATCCGCAGAAGAAACTTACCTTTGGTTGGTAGTGAATTGAAGAATGGTAGTAATAGTAGTTATAACTGTACCCCATTCCTCCATTCCCTACTAACCAAAGGAAGATGACGAGAGTCGCACCTCGGCGTTGGCATCACGGAAACCGATTCGCACGATCTCGGCAGGCAGCTTCCCCGGCTCCTGCCAGGACAACTCGCACCGAACCCCCACCCCCGGTTTTTGGGCTCCTATGAGCTCTGCATCCGAGCTGCCTCTCGCTCTAAATCCGAGACCTCAAACCCCTTACATCCCCTCAACCCTGAGACCCCTAAAGTTCCCTAAACCTCTTACCCTAAACCCTAAACCCCTTACATCCCCTGAACCCTTGTTGCAACCCTAAACCTCCTGCGACCCGCCCCGACCCCCCAATCCTGGGTTCCGTCAAGAATTTAGTTCAAGCTACCATAATAAGGAAACCATGTTATATCTACAGATCCCTCTTATGGTAACCTAAGCTAAACTCCTGAAACCCCTAAACCCTTATAGATCCCTTTAAAGGAACCCTGAAATTTCAAAAGCCCTTCTAGATCCCTTTAAAGGAACCCTGAAACTTTGAAAGCCCTTCTAGATCCCTTTAAAGGAACCCCTATATCCAGAGCCCAGAATAAACTCTAAACCCTAAACCCTCGGGATCGCCTGCTTCTCCAAGGCCTCAAAGAGTCGGCAGCGGACGCGAGGGGCGGCGTCCAGGCATCGCCCGGCCGCCTCCGCCAATGTCTGGTGCTTTGTAGGCTAAGGTTTAGGGGTTTAGGGTTTAGGGGTTTAGGGTTTAGGGTTTAGGGGTTTAGGGTTTAGGGGTTTAGGGTTTAGGGTTTAGGGGTTTAGGGATGGAATGGGGGAAGGGATCCCTATTATAAGGGATCCTATAAAGGGATCTATAAGGGTTCCTTTAAAGGGATCCTATACAGGGATCTGTAAGGGCTTTACTGTCTGGTGCTAGTAGGGAATGGCGGAAGGGAGCCCTATGACAGTCTTTTGAGGTCCCTATAAGTAGTCCCAATAATCCATTCCCCCATTCCCTTCTAAAAACCAGACAGAAAAGCGCGTACTCCTGTGGTAACACCCACGAGACGTCGTAAGGCCAAGGCTAAAAACATCTGAGAATGATATGCAAGAAAAACCAGGGTAGAGTATACTAGTTCCCCGGCAAAGAAGTAGAAGAAGCACAATTACCCACGGGTTGAAAAGTGGAAATCTGTTGCGATCTTGTCCGGCCTCCTCGGCTGAACCCCTGTCGCCAAGGCTGAGAACTGCCGTTGCACGGACCTGGAGGATTTCAAGAGAGGCTCAGGGTCTCCGAGCCATCAAAGACTTAAAGTCACGAAAAAGCGAACCCAAAATCGATAACGCACGCGCCAACAGCGGTGAAAAGTGATGCTTTCACCCAGCCACGGCAGGGGTGATATCGCGGCTGGCAAGGTGAAGCAGCGCAGCATGGAAGTCCTCACCTATGGGAGGCACTGCAAAGCAGTGTGCGGCGTTGTACGTACATGTACCTGTGTACCGGTGCAAGTACCGGTACATGTGCATGTCTGTTACGTTCTTATGTATGGGCGCACGTTTGTGTATTCGTATGTATGTCCACATATGTCTACATGAATGTATGTATGCATGTATGTAGGAGAATGCGTACATATGTGCGTGTATGTGTAATATACGAATATATACATACATACAGACATACATATGTATATATATATATATATACATGTATATATATATATATATATGTATATATAGAAATACATACATATATGCACACACATGTGCTTGTGATTTCCGTTGTGGTTGTTGTTGGGGGGAAGAGGGGTCCATGATCATATGCTCGTTATGAAAACATGAACTGGAAGAAGCACCCATAATCTCGAACGGCCCCCGCTCCAAACCTCAAAGGTACTCAACTCTGTAGCTTAAACCCTTAAACCCTGTGACTCTATGTAGCCCTTAACCTTGAACCGTAAGCCAGTTAACCCTACAGCCCAGATCCCAAACCGTCAAGTGCCAGGTTAAACCAAGATTGCTTCAACATGTAGTAGACAAGTACTCATGGGTACTGACAGTATTCTTATGATTATCCTGCTTACCTATACACATATTCTACAGAGAGATATATATATATATATGTGTATATACATATATATATATATATATAGATACACTTTTATATGCATAACTGTGTACGCAAAAGACCAGCCTTCGACGCGGCTGAGGCCACGGGCCGCTGCCAGGCGCACAGGTGGAGAACGGTCCTGGTCGGATTAAGGGCAGTGAATGACACAAGCAAACACAATAACAGCGAGGATGAAAAATAGGAAGAACGACAACGACGTACTGTAGACTAAAGAATAACAAGAATAGTAGTACCATCCTGACATTCATAACGAGAAGAAGAAAACTGATAACGAGAACAAGAAGAACATTTTGGGTTTAGCATCTTCAAGGGTAGTTATGTGCCCTAGGAGGCAGTATGAAGGTTTCCTACCCATGTGGTCCCAAAACATCATAAGATTAACAATAAGAAGAAAAATACTGGTAGGCAGGAATACCACTGACAATAACAACAATACCAGTAATAGTAAGAAGAAGAACAATAGTTATAATAGTACTATAACACTGACAATAACAACAATAACTATAACAACAAGAATAAGAACAATAGTTAGAATAGTACTGAGAAAGAAGAGGAAGAGCGCACCTTGGCGAGGTCAAGCAGTGCGAGGCCGGCAGCTTCGGTGAGGTGCCTGCCAAGGACCTCCAGATTTAAAATGTAGGGGCCTAAATAATTAGAACAGGGTTCTTTTAATGGGGTCTATAAGGGCTATGATAAGGATTTAGTATGGGGGCTTAAATAACTACATATGCTATTTTGGGGCGGCATCGCAACTCAACGTAGCGTTCGACTTCGATTCTGACGGGGAGACAGGCTTCACCCTAAAGCTACGTGCACACATGTCATGCACTGCATACTACATCATACCACAACGTCCAGATCTGCGGAAGGATGATGTCATATCTACCAAATTACAAACCATTTCAACATGTTATACAGCCTCATATACTATATCAGTCAGATGAGATTGTATCTTGTTGTTCTGGTGCCGGGATGGCTAATCTAGCGCCAACATGTGATTAATTCGCCCAAGCTCGGGCCCCGCCTCATTCCGAAGAGTAACAGTATGATGCGAAGAACATTATGGCCCCCCTTCTTTCCACTCTACAACCGCGGTTTTTGGCAACCTCCCACATGCTAGACCAGCTAAGTGCTGCCATCCCGAACCCGGCTCGCACCTGCGCGCTGGGGTCGCCCAGGGGAGGAAGCCTTGCGGAGCCATCAAAGGTGCAGCCCGTAACTTCCGGGTACCGGAGCTGTGCTGCTCAAGTTGCTAGCAACAACTGTTGACGACGATCACAACCTAGAACACACAAGACTACCACCACAACCACGACCACCGCCGCCACCACCACCACCACCATCACCACAACCACGACCACCATGAGGACAACTACTAACGACCATACTACTACTCCTCCTTGTACTCACTACTACTACGACGACGACAGCGGCGGCGACGACGACGGGCTGTGAGGATCGTGGTCTGGACTTTAAGCTCCAACTAGTCTTTGTGATGGTCTCTTTGTTATTGTGTTGATTGCAGTGTATGCATGGCATGAAGATTAGAAACAGCAGCAGGCGTTACCATGAATTGTAGTTTGCGCATAATATATACTTACGTACACATAACTCTGTATGCATTGCCAGTGTGTGTATACATCCCCACATAAAAATGAACAAATCTGGATACTTATCATAGGTGTAGCTGCAAAGTGGCTCTCGCTTGCTGTCAAATCTCCTGCTGCTGTCTCATCAGCACGATTCCGAACGACCCACAGCATCTCACCGATCATGCTGCCCATCATGACGGCTGAACTCCAAACCCCAAACCCGAAACCTTAAACTCTAAACCCGGAAACCCTGAACCCGAAACCCTAAACGGCCCTAAACCCTAAGCCCCACACCCTCAACCCTAAACCCTAAAATCCCTAAACCGAAATCTGGTTCATGGTTGGGATAGGATTACAAATTTTCATGTTTATTCTTTATTGGGTTTAAGTACCCTTAAAACTGTAAAATTTTGCCAACTATGACAAAGAAATTCTGGGAGCCCCACAAGCGCCAGAGGAGGCAGGCTGCCCGGCAGCGGGCCGCTCGATCCCGGAGCGCCTGGGCCTCCCGACGCCATCATGATGGGAGGGACCTATAAGGGTTCTATGAAGACTTTAGGGCTTTAAAGCTTTAGGGTTCCAGGGCTAAGATAGGGGGGGTTAAGATTCTTGGGGTAGGGATTCCTTAATATGATTCCCATTATGGGAACCCTAATCCCTACTAAACCCCCATAGATGACATCACTTCACCTCTCCCTGCTACCTTCTTCTTCTTAGAAGTATCATTATTGCTATGATTGCTACTATTGCTATTATTGCTACGATTGTGGTTGATATTGTTGTTGATAATCGATTTTATATTCTTGTTACTTGTTATCATTCTTGTTGTTATGACTTGCGGCTGCAGTGGGCACTGACGTGCCTCTTCTGTGGTACACACTTCCGCCGCAAGGGCTCCAGCAGGCTCTACTGAGTTGCGGCTCTCTTGAAGGAGCCTTTTCCACAGTGGTATCTGTTCGAGTATAAATATAGCGTATACAGTGCAAGGATTCCTGTAGTTCCAGAGTCCTTCGGGGCCTCGCTCCCGAGCCGCTGCACCAGCCAAGATAAGAGTCGGCCCGGGGTCTTCTCTTCGGCTTCCGCCTGTGGCAGCACGAGACGGCGGAAAGCAAGAAGGAAGCGTTCCACATGCGCTGCACCTCCAGAGCCACCGTGGCGAGCAAATCGAGGCAGCCATCGACCAGCAAGAAGCTTGAACGGCAGTCACCAGCGCAGAGCATAGCCTGCAGGGCATGGGAAGCACAGCTTCGTGCGTCTCGAGACCGTGGCAGACACTGTGAGACAAAAGATACATCGGCCTCGGCACAGTTCTCCAGGGCCTTTGCCATCCTTAACAGGCTTCAACGGACACGCCCCCAGCATCAAACCTGTGCCATACACTTTGGCACACCTTCGGCAAACAGCGCCCCAATCCAGGTCCAAGCGGCTGAGCGTGGCCCTGCAGCTCGCGCAGCGCGCGAAGGCGTGCCAAGCAGGCCGAGGGGTCCGCGCCAGCTGTGCCCTCGCAGCTCGCATTCGCTCGAACTCTGAGCGGAAGGACTGCAACTGAGACCACAGTCCCCCACCTCGAAGTGACTGAAGATCTGGTAGGCATCCTGTGCACCTGACACTTACAAGTAGCACTTAGCCCTTCTAAACTGCATCTGAAGATGAGTGCTGGTCACAACAAAGTAAAGCCGGGGCGCACTCCCCCACCACCACATCTGTCGCAACCGGCACCTCCGCAGCTTTGGCCTTGGCCTTTGGCTTCTCGACTGCAGGTTTTGCCACGTTCTTGCCTTGCAGCGCTCGCTGCCCAGGGCGCTGCTTTCCCTTGACCCGTCTTGGTGGCAGGTCTGCACCCGAGACCGGCGTGGGCTTCTTGACGTGCCGCTTCAGTGGTGTGGGGGGCCGGCGGTTCATGATCAGCTGCGACAAGGTGCCTCGTGCCCGTTGAGGAGTGCTTTCAACACGAGACGAGGGTTGAACCTGATCAGAGACCTTGCGACCAAAGCTGGTTTGGCGCTTCTTTGCCACGAAAGCCAGAAACCTACCTTTCCTGGCGGATCGCGGCACACTCCGAGTGGCGCAATCCTCATTGCCTTCAGCGGACTTCTTCACTCTTCTGGGTGTCACCGGCTCGGGCATCCGGCGAATCTCCTCACACGCGGAACTCAGGGCAAGCAGCCAAACTCTCGGGCGTGCTTCACACGTACGTGGGGTCAACGGTGAGACTGTGGAAACGGTGCAGGTGCTAAGCGGGCCTCACCCTACCCGCACACACACACTTAGACATCCATCGCGAAGCCACTAATCAATCTGGTTATCAAGCACAGCTTGATGTATCTCGAAAGCATGAAGCTTCCAGGGGGTCCGGTACCTATCTGGCCTCAAGGCTCATCTTCACTTGATCTCTGACTTTTCCACTGTACAAGGCAAAATCTCCCAGACATGCACATGAAACTGCACTGCACTCCTACTCGCAATCAACAGTTGTGTGGTCACAAGCTGCACGAAAGTGCCCATGCCGACCACTGCAGGTACGTTTACCTGTCTCAATATCACGGAGCTTCGTTGGCAGAGGCCGTGAAATGAGACCCCCCTGCAATTTTCTGTAATTCAGCACAACTGTCCAACGTGTTTCAAAAACGGTTCCTCTTGGTAACAGAGGTCCACACACACAGTAAGCCACTAAGGCGAAACGACCTAGGGTCTGGACTCCAAACGAGGACGGTTTTCGTCCGAATATGGCTCAGCCCAGTGAAAGGTCAATGGTACTGTGTTGTTGACAGTACTGAGTTTGACGTAGTATGGTAAATGAGTCCCGCTTTGCGTGAGTTTAAACGCACGCTTGGGGATGCGACTCCACTCCAAACTGATAGCCTCTTTAAGGTCGTCGATAATGCCTTCGGCCGGAATGTCGAAACATGCAACGGTGGCACCATGGTGGCGGCCGTCAGAAGGCAAATTTTCAATCCAAAATCCTCGGGTCATCTGCAGCGGAGGCAGATGTTTCGGTGTCCGAGGGAGAATAAGTGGATCATCATCTTTACCGCCATCGGGTGGAAGCGACGCTTGTGCTGCATCTCGTTTCATGGCGGATAAAGCTACACATACACTGGGTCGCTGATGAGTGGGAGCAGGAAAACTGTACAGGCGAATGCTCTCACTGTATGCAGGACAGAAAAAATGTAAGTCAGGTCACAAGGTCATGCCAAGAATCACTGGTAGTTTTTCCCAGCAAGTGACATGTAATCCTGTACACGTCCGGTGTCCAAATCAAAATAAGAATCAAACGTTTCGGTTGGGACACTGTGCAACATACCAAAAATGGCAAGCACAACGGAGGTTGGCTCTGACCAGCATTTTTGCACAAGCCTTCGACCGTGCTGCAGGATTTCGATGAAACTGCATCGGATCCCCAAGTGTGATATCACTCGCTTCAGAGGGAACGGGCGAACGCTCAGGTTTGTCCTTCTTGGACTTCATGGACTTCTGAGACTTGTTTGGTGACCGGTCCTTTTTCAGCCTTTTGGACTTCTTGGACTTCTTGGTCTTCTTGCACTTGCTGGAGGACTTCTTAACCCAAGACGCCACCTCTGTGGGTGCCGAGTCTTTGGGAGGATCAAAAGCCGAAGACCAGGAGCTAGCATCATCAGGAAGTTCATCATATGGTACCCCGTGGTCTTGACGGGAAGCCATGCCGGTGGGTCGAGTAATCAAGACGGAAACGGCTGGCGGCACCACATGAGTAAAAAAGGAAAACACGCCTTCGGCTCAACGAGAGACAGAGAGAAGGGGGAGAGAGAAAAGGCGAAAAAGACATAAAACTGAGCGTCACGCTCATACGCGTTGTTTTGCAATGCGCAAAGACGGTTCCACTTTAGTGGTGCAGGCGCTCTAATCCGGTAATGATGAAAGTCCCAAAAATGTCAATTGGGAAAACGAATTAAGCAGACGAGTCGTCTGCTGTTCCAGCATGACAAAAGCTCTCACGGTGATGCATCTCGCTTGCGTTTTCGGGGTGACAAAGAATTGGCGCTCTCAGTAGGGAGGTTCAAGTCCACCGAAGAAGTGGTCTGAGAAGCTTGGTGCCACTGATTGTCAGCAGCCAAACGGTCCGAAATCCAGCGAGAAGTGGCGGGAAACCAAGATTTCCACCACGTTTCATTGCCACTGGGTCCTTGAATTTTGACCCAATAAAATCGCCACGAAACAGTCGGAGAACGCGATCGGGATCGATCCGACATGGCGTGTACCGCTGAAAGCCGAACGCTGGAACTGAACAGAGCGATTTAAAAAACCTAAGCGAACACATTGCATGCAAGACTCTTCTGCATATACATTCTGTATTGCAACAGTCTTTTTTCATGCATGACAGACTCCATGAATCTTAAGCCTCTCTCTGTACATCGGATACCGGTAAAGCTTCGGTGCTTCGTACAGAGTACTCCAAGCCCGGCCAGCTGACTCCCCAATCCTGTCCTTCCCCCGTTTCAAAAGTAATCGGCCGGGGATTGTTGGGGGTGGACATCGGCAACGTAATGGAGTGGGTGCTTGACAAAGTCCAAATTTTGTCGATGCGCCCTGCGGCTTCACGTACCGCCCAGCGCTTATCTCCTGAAGGGGAGTGTACAAGCGGGTGGAACTTGCACAAGTGTCCTTCATGTACAGTACTGGAGGATTTGGATTTGTGATGCGCAGATCCAAGATATCCTCCAACGACCACTCCTGCGGAATTCTTCGTGGAGTGGTGCAGTTTTGACACGAAGTCTAACTTGCTCTCTTCATAGTACACGTTTTGTGTGGCTTTGCCATAAAAGGAGCACACATGATCGTGCGGCGCCACATGTACAGCTTCGGCGCTAGAGCGAATGACCCTGCCCAACGTGAGGATGCCGACCAGGCCTTCGGCCGTGGTCCCGTGTCCCCAAAGATAATAGCAGTTGGTCTGCTCTTCAGGTCCTGGCATATGTGCCACTGGAAACTCCCAAACATGCAATGCTTCTTGGGGCATGGCATACGCCATACGCCTTGGCATCATGCTGAAAAATTGCCTTATATGGTATCTTGCTGGCCAAAATGGACCGGGCAAGAGTGACAATCTCCCGTTGGCCAATAGGAATCACAGGCAGAAAAGGTCGGTCTGCCTGGCCAAATCGGGTCAACAAAAATTTCAGCACATCCTCAACATCCTCTTTGAGGATTTTGGAAACTGGCAATGAACATTGCCGAGTAAAAGTGATGCGATCAGTGAATCTTCGCATATGAGAATGTGGGATAATAGGCCACGTATGCAAGCCTTCAGTTGTGAGAAAATTCTCATGATAATGCAAAACAAAGAACATATACGCCAAGAGAGAACTCATTCCCTCCTCATAGAAATCGACAGCATTGCGGCCTTTGGCTCGAGCTGTGATTTGCTCTCGCAGTTGTTCATAGCTGCTGCGATGAGCAGCATGAAATAGCTGTTCCTCATCAACAGAAATCAAACCGGATTGAGCAGGAGGAACTGGGCTCTTTGGAGCCGGATTCTTGGGAGGTGTCTTGGGCGACGTGTTCTTGCGAAACTCCGGTGAGGCAGCTGCCGCGACAGGCTCCTTGTTCTCCAAAATCGGGCCTGTCTCCGGTTTGCTTTGTGCATTGCCGGGAGCTCTAAAAGCTTGAGCAGCCTGATGTAATGCATCAGTAGCTGCTTGAGAATGCGAAGCAGGAGCTCGAACTCTGGGTGTTACTGGCCTTTGGCTCAGATTCCCAGCAGGAACACTAGGTACCCATTGCCCCGGCGGTCGCTGTGGACTGTTGCTGGGCCCTTTGTTTTCATGAGGCCGAGAACGGACAGAAGCCGGCTCAATAGATCTCGGTCTAGGCCGGGGTGGCATGTTTTCTAAGCTGGCCGAACGAAAAGGTGGGCGCATCGGAGGAACAGCACTGACCGACCTTGTTGGTGGTCGAGTAGGAGGCTGAGGGGGAGGCAGAACTGGTCGAGCTGGGGCCGCGGGAGGTCGTCTCGAGCGACTGCGATCATGACGCTCACGGCTGGGGTGAGTAGACTTGGCCGGCTCCCCCGGTGTGAGTTGAATTGGAAGCGGAGCTCGAGGTGGTGGGTGTACCGAAACCGACCGAGCTCTGCTAGCTTCCTGAGGAGTCGAAAGAATTGTAACCGGAGGTTGCGGTCCGCTTGAAGTCTGCACTCCAGGGGGTCCTCCGTAGAAGTGAAAATGGTATTGCTGGGCCATGGCTCTGGGTTGAAATATTCCTCCAACAGGCCGATATCCAGCTGAAAACCAATGCAGCTATGGTACTGAATCAGTAGCTCACGTGCACAATTAGGGACAAAAACATTGCAAAGAGGCAGCGAAACTCTCAATCGACAGACTTATTTGCTGACTTCATTGCAACGCATTCACAGGAAAACCTGCCTGTACATACAGTTGCTTGAGTCTGCGAAGTTGTCCCGGTCTTGACTCGGGGGGCCAGGAGTACTGGCGAATCAAAGATGCTCGAGAAAAGTATCCCGAGGCTGCCAGCTGCCACGATCCAGCGCTGTTGGGCGAGCGGATCTGCCATGGTTGCTCCGGGAGATTAAAAGTTGCTGAGCGAGTCTTGGCGCAAATGGTAAAACCCAACCATTGATGGTCTGACACAGTTTCCAACTGAATCCCATCATAAAAGTTAGGATCGCAGAATCTCCGGAGTTGGGACGACAGTAGAATTTTCTGAGGTCCCAGAATCAGTCTGTTATCGACGTAACGGAGAAACAAGAAAGACGATTGGATGGCCGTCGGCAAAGATTGCAAAAACTGCCGCTCGGCCAGGAGTACAGGAAGTCCGGAGAGGATCGGCGATATTTGATTGCCTATACACGTCCCCTCCACTTGCTGCCTGCACTTTCCAGCAGCTGTAAAAACTCCCGTGGCGAAGGATAGATCCACAATCAGCGGAACATCAGAAACCCAACACCTCTTTAAGTTTGATTTCGTTCTCCCCCGAGGTTTGCCCGGGTGTCCCGTTTTTGACAACATATCGATCGAGAGGATCGAACAGCCAGAAGTTTGGCAGTATTCTTGGACAATCAAATGCACTGCGTGCATGATGTCTTTTCGGGGAACTGCATTGAAAAATCCCACGAGATCGTCGTTCCATTCGACGTCTTCCTCTTGGCTGGGCTTCGCCCAATAAGCATGAAGAGACCTCCAGAGCTGTGGCATGCTCTGCATGCCTGGGCTGTCAGCAAACAGCGTCTTGACCATTAAGGTTAACGCAATGGAGGTCAGCTCCAATAGCTTGCTGCACAACGAATTGGAATACGAAATGATGGTCCGTCCCTTGGCAAACTGTTTCTTCCGTTTCAGGAACACAGTGCCTTGAGGCAGCGGAGCTGCTTCTTTGAAGGCCCAGGCGTATCTTCTGGACAGATCTCGAGGAACGCGCTTCAAAATGCGCTGTCTCCATTCTTCAGGGGTACCATCAAGAGTACGAAACACAGAGGGATCGTTCCATGTGGTGCTAACTCCTCGAAGGAAGAAGCGAGGACAATAGCACACGACATGATTCGGATGATGATCTTCGTTGTACAGAACAAAATCCGAGTGCAAGGCAGACTTCACCTTCTGTACCAAAGCCCAGTGTAGTCTGTCTGATTGTTCCAGGGCTGCAACATGTTGCTGCCACTGGTGGTCACAAAAGGATTGAAAAATTGGATGCAACGTCGCTGGTAGCTTGTGTCTCTTGAGCCACTGATCAAACAGAGCTCTGGACTTGGCCATCCAGTGATTGCGGCCTGGGAAAAAGGTGCTCGCGGCACTGGCCGATAAGATGCTCGAACAGCCTGGTAGTAGCTTGGTCAGGTTCTCCAAACCTGTGGCTACGTGGCCAGACACGAAGCAATGAGCAGGAAGTTTTCCTGCAAACTGCTCACACGGACAGTGCACCGACTCCAAATCAAAGTCGTGCTCCCACATCGTTTCTTCCCAAGATCGGAAGTTGTGGAGAAATTTCTTGATACTCTGGTGCGGAACTTCACGTAGGCTGTTCTTTGGAACATGAAAAGATGGAAAAAGATACTTGTACCGGAGGATGAGGTCTTTTAACCACTTCTCGCACTCCTTGGAAAACGAAGGAGACGCAGTTGGCAGGACTCCCAAAGGTCGGGAAGTCCGTGGCCAGTGCATCTTCTTGCGAAACTTGGCTACACCTTTGAGTATTCCTTGCACCCTGTTGCGATGAGGGTTTTCGATATTGCGACTGAGTTTGATGAGGGCATACACTTCCTCGTCAGCCGTCTTGTTGGATCGGAGCAGCTTCGCTGTTTCAAAGGATGCTCGGGTTCTCGATGCCAGCTTAAACAGAAGCCCCCAGGCTAACTCCCGAGAGTCATGAATGAAGAATTTCGAACTGCGACCAAACATGCGCTTTCGCAGTTTGCGCCAAAGTCGGAGGCCAAAGGTGCAATACAATGACCCTCTGCGTTTGGACGAAATTCGGAAACCGAGAGCGGTCTTCTTAATGAGAGACATTGCTCTGGGATAATTCAAAGGTGCCTGCCATTGAGCAATGAGTTCGTGCTCAACAGTCCAAGCTCGCTGGTAGCTGTCACAAAATTCCAGCGGAACAAGCACAAACTGGAAAAGGTTGTGTTGGGATGCCCAATATCTCAGGGACAATTCTGCATCCACAAATTCGGTTCTTTGAAGTCTTCTGTAGACTGCCATGCGGTTCAAATGCCGCTTGGCTGCACCGACAGCAGTGCTTCCCACATACAGAAGTGATGAGGGCTGACGGTAGCCCGAACGAAATCGACCCATGTCGAAATCAACTTGAAAAATGCAATATACAGTGTTCGGCTTCTCAAACAGAGAATAATGCAGAGTATCTGGATCCACTCCGAACTGCTGCAATCTCCGAACAATCTTGAATCTGTGTGAATCATCCTGGCTGGGTGCATTGAGGTAAAACAACAACACCAACGACATCAATGTATGCACCCAAATCAGCGGAGTCTTGGGTATTCCATCGCCAAACTCCAACATGAAAGCTGCTGCTGTACCAAGCGTGCACACTGCTGAAGCAAGCCTCTTACGGACCTGAATCGGCTGATGTTGCACCGTTTTTGCTTGGGTAGCTAGTCAAGCTGATTCAAACTGACATGCACCAATGAACGAAGACAAATTGGTGAATGACATCTTGCTGGCATGGCTTTTCTTCAAGCCGTACTTGATAGCGAGATCTGCCAGGCTTTGCCGATCAGTGGCTGAATCTTTCAGCACAGAGCAAACATCAGCCACATGTTTCGTAAAAGCTGCAGCTTGACCACGAAACTGGCTCTGATGCTTCTTGAGCCATTTTTCAACAACATCAGGGGAGCTGGAACTCGGAACAGAGTTCGGCGGATTCGGGAGTTCCGCATTCAAAATCTGCTCAGCTGACGGTGAAGGTGAAGCGGTGGGCTTTGGGCCAGTTTTGGCCTGCTTCTTCTCTGGAGTAAGAGCAATCCCAGCTTCCTTCAACTTTCGCTTCGCACGAGCAAGCTGTTCACTCTCAGGCGATTGCTGGCTTGAATCCGCCGGAGGAGGCGAATTGGCTTTGATTGTTGAAACAATTTCGCCAAGCAATGGTTGCATAAATCTCGCAGACTCCCTGTGCTTGTCAGGCGGAGCTGGGCCGTGCATATTTGCTGCCACGGCATCAAGATCAATCCGGTCTTGCCGAATGTGACGAAGCAGGTTAGTCACAAACACTGCTTCTGAAATCGACCTCACGAATACTAAGCTCTGAAATTCTCCATTGGACAAACAGCGGAGACTGAAGTCATCAAGACCTTTTCTCGTCAGGTCTGAGACACGAAGATCGGCGACATCTTTTCCAGCCAGTCCAGCTTTCGTAGACCAGGGCGTGGATTGGATGTTACGAAAGAACTTCTTGCCAGAAATAGCATTCTTGTCGTAACACTCCCAGTCACTGGTAAAAGACGATGGGATGGCAACATTGGTGCTGGGAACAGACTGTTGAGGGGATTTTTGCCAGTCACGGTTGTTCCAACCCGACGATCCTTTCTTCTCCCAAGACGAACTAGCCCAGGACGACTTGGCCCAATCTTGTTCACGGGTCCACGACATGATCGCAAAAGATTGCTACAGGCTTGTGTCTCGGAGCTGAAATCGTGGTCTGCGGATAGAAAAGCCGTTGGTTCCATCGGATCTGCAAAAATTCAGGACCTGCAATGAAACCTGGCATCAAACCTGACATTAAGTCAGGAGCGGAGAAAACATCGCGACTGAAGTAATCAGATGTCTGCACCATCGGAGCAGCAAATTCAGTCGGACCTGTGAGGACCACGACGGGCCCAAAACAATGTATCCCTGCCTTTATCAGATCCACCCTGGCAGGTACTCGCACGGGCTAACCCCGCCGCAGGTAGCGCGGTAAACGAATACAAGACCAGCTTGTAACTACCTGGGACACACTTAGACATCCATCGCGCAGCCACTAATCAATCTGGTTATCAAGCACAGCTTGATGTATCTCGAAAGCATGAAGCTTCCAGGGGGTCCGGTACCTATCTGGCCTCAAGGCTCATCTTCACTTGATCTCTGACTTTTCCACTGTACAAGGCAAAATCTCCCAGACATGCACATGAAACTGCACTGCACTCCTACTCGCAATCAACAGTTGTGTGGTCACAAGCTGCACGAAAGTGCCCATGCCGACCACTGCAGGTACGTTTACCTGTCTCAATATCACGGAGCTTCGTTGGCAGAGGCCGTGAAATGAGACCCTCTGCCCCCTGCAATTTTCTGTAATTCAGCACAACTGTCCAACGTGTTTCAAAAACGGTTCCTCTTGGTAACAGAGGTCCACACACACACACACACACCCACACACCCACACACCTACACACCCACACAACCACACAACCACACACTGCCACCCACACGCCCACACACCCACACATCCACGCAACCCACACACCCACCCACCCACGACTTGCCCGCAGGGCCTCCGTTTGCTTGTCTTTTTCTGCCTTGCACTTGGCAGCTTCTTCAGCTAGGGCCGCTAGGGCCTTCTCAGCCTCCTTCTTTTTGGCCGCCTCCTGTCGCTTGGCCTCCTGCTTTTGTTTCTTCTTTTCCTCTGCCTCCTTCCGCTCGGCCTCCGCGCGAGCCTTCTCGGCTTCCTTCTTGGCCTCCTCCAGCTGCCTGGCCTCTGCCTCCTTTTCTGCTCGTCCCTTGGCCTCCAATACATGCGTGTCTGAGGCTATGGAAAGCACTCTGCCTGCCAAGACAGGCCAAGACGACCAGGCTTTGCGAACGTTTAAGACAGGAAGGAAGAACACCTGTTACCTCTTTTTGCCTGACCACCGTTGTCTACCTGCTGGAGAATCTGAGCAAGTATCGAATCTAACACTGAGTCGCTTCGACAAAGCTTTCAAGCCTAGCCAGGTGCAGTGGAGGGAGTGGCAGATCTACGAGACAGTACTTTAGGGACTTCGATGAACTTGATCTTGAAAAAAAAAACCGGCTGCTATCAAAGCTCAGGACTTTGGCTTCGATCGGGTTTAAGATCCAGGTTATCCTCCAGTCTTGCCTTTCTCTAGCAAAGCCCTTCTAAATGAGTGTCCCTGCTATGGCGCCAGTAGGCAATCTGTGAATCTCCTGCACTCAGTGCTGGCCGAGAAAAACTCGAAGGACCCGAAGCAGCACGGTCCTTGCATAGATACCGCTTTGTCTTTCTGGTCGTCTTGGGATGCGTCTCTCGAAGTAAACCATCGTCACGAATGTCGCTTTCCTGTTTATCCTTCGGCAACTGGACCTCGACCTCTTGTCCTCTCTCCGCGGATTCTGGAAAGACATCTTCGGTTGCGATGTGTTCCACAGGAGCTTCTTGCTCATTAGCCTCCCTGTCTATTGTGCTCTGGTCCACGAGATCTTCAGCATCCGCCTCTCCAACTTCCTCGACCACATCCGCTTTCCTCTCGACCTCCTCCTTCTCCTCCTCTGCCTCTTCCAAAGCACACTGCTCCTCTGCCTGGTCCCCCTCCGGCTCCTGCTCCTCTTGCTCCTGCTGCTCCTCCTGCTCTTCCTGCTCCTCCTGCTCCTCCTCATCCTCATCTTCCTCGTCTTCCTCAGCATTCTGCCCGTCCTCCTCATCGACCTCTTCGGCCTCATCGGCTGTGGAGTTCTCTAACTCGACGGCCGTCGCAGGCACCACCTCACAGGATGTGAACACCCTCAGGGGGCCTTCAGAGACCTTACGAATTTGGGGTTCGGAGGTGTGGCCACTGCGTTTGTCGTTTGATACGATTGGGACAAGCCTGACCGAATTCAACGGAGCTCAAACGAAATAATCGCTCCTCAACACAAGCTCCCGAAACCTTGAATCCGAAATTCTCTTAAGTTAATGAGGTAACGCGAGAAATGGTAGCAGGGGAGCCGGGACACTCAAGGAGCTCCGAGCAGCAAAGATCAAAAATTAGCTCTTTCCGCCTTGTGGGAGTCTGTATCATCTTTCGCAAAGTCGCTTTCTTCCTGCAAGTTTCCCATCACACTTGAAATGCCACGTTTCATCCCTGGAGGAACACAATGCGGCTGAGTCTTGAAAAAGGGATCGACCTCTGAATCTGGCCTCTTCGCCTTCTGCAAGGGATCTGTAATTTAAGTTACCATAATAGGGATCTATAATAAATAATAATGGTAATAATAATGGTAATGACACTAGTAATAATATATAATACTAGTTGGCTCCTCATTCTCAGGGCTGGAGCAGTCTTCCTGCTCCTCGACAGCTGTCTCGTCTTCCTCGATTTGGGTTGCCTCCGGCTCCTCCACGCACGTTAGGCGAGGCAGCTTGAAGGAGGGAGGGAGGGGAGGGAGGGAGAGAGACAGACACTGCAAATGCAAAACTTTGAGACAGGAAGCGGACAGAAAGCGATACACCGCAATACTGAGCATTGCGAAGCTGGGTGTTTAAAACAGAACCCCACGATCATCGGACTGACAGAAGCATCCTTCCGGCTCAGAAAATGTGGCTACACCCATCAGAACCACAAAACCATAGCGAGGAGACGAATTCAGAGAAAGCCGCACCACAAAACTCCTTAGGGCTTCCTGTCTACTATCACAAACACGTGCACAGGGAAAAGACTTACAAAAAAGACACACACGAAAACTTGTAGCAGTTCCAAGAGCAATGCGCATAGTCGCAAGCATCCTCACCACATGGCACTGGCATCAAATGGTAGGAAAGCAACAAAGAGAACAAC